CAAGGAGCTTACTCCGGGAGCTGTCATGAAGATATTTGTTTCTTCTGCCCATCATTACATGCTAATAGGGACTGGATTGGGTGTAAATGTGGCTGATCTGATGCAAATACCAGGAACAGCAAATACCAATCTTATGATAGTATTCCAGAGGTGGTTTGATTCTGATAAAGATGTCAACTGGGATAGATTAATAAAACTGTGTGATGACTTTCCTGATCAACTAGGCAAAGCAAGAACTAAGCTTCTGTGTATGTGTATGTGTATGTGTGTGTGTGTGTACATTATCAGTGATCAATATAGTCATTATATCTCAATACATTAGGTCAGTCTATACCTGATAATGTCAGATCCATTAGTTCAATACCTGATGATGTTCAAGGATATGCTGACAATATGAGACAACACTACAAATACCAACCTATTGTTGCTACAGACTGGCCACCAAGAACTGGAAAAGATTTCTTTGGAAGACTAGCACTAGTAGAAAAACAAGACTCCAGCACACAAGCAGAATCAGCTTGTCATCTGCTAAGAGGACAAGTTGATGAAACAGTTAAACTAACTGAAAACAAAGAGATAAGTGTTGAAGATGTCCTCCAACCCACAGATAGTTCTCTGTCTCTCAGAGTAGTAATAGACGGTCCTCCTGGTATTGGCAAGACCACACTCTGTCGTAAACTGTTAAATATGTGGTCTAATGGACCACTTGTACACCAACAGTATGACTTGGTACTTTACTGTCCTTTAAGGAATAGCAAGATAGCTACAGCTACTACACTAGCTGACCTGTTTGAGTACAGATGTTATGAAGTTCCCATGGTAGCTGAATGGTTTGAGAAGAGGAATGGAAAAGGATTACTGATAATCTTTGATGGTTGGGATGAACTAAGTGAACAGCTCGGACAGTCTTCATTAGCTGCTAGTATTATTCATAGAAAGCAGTTAGACCAATGTTCAGTAATTGTTACCTCTCGTAGCTATGCCTCCTCTTCACTTTTGAAAATGGATACTCTCAGTAGACATGTTCAGGTCATTGGGTTTTCTAAAGAAGAAATATCAACAGTAATTATACAAACACTTCAAAAAGATACAAAACTAGCACAAGAACTCATTGATAAGAAAAGACAAGATGATAAAAATCACAAACCTTTCACAACTACTCAAAGCAGTAAGGATTCACAACTAGCAGTGAAACTCATTAATGATCTTAAAGTGCGAAATGATGTCCAATCATTGTGTTATGTACCACTAGTCTGTTCCATGATCATCTTAGTTTATCGTAAGGAAAGAGGACACTTACCAACAACACTCACTCAACTCTATGAGAACTTTATCTTACAAACTATCAGAAGACATGTGGAAATAAAACCAAGACATGACATTGACCCACATACTTTAGGTAGTCTTTCTTCATTACCATCACAATTAGCTAAACCTTTACAAGAGATGTGTCAATTAGCTTATACTAACCTGGCTAATACAACAATGACATTCTCTTCACATCAACTACAGTCACTGAGTGAGGCAGTCAAGGAAGACTATCTTGGATTGATGACAAGATTCACAGAATATGATGAGGAGAAGTATCAGTTCCTTCACTTGAGTATACAGGAATTTCTAGCTGCATGGTGGATAGCTAAGCATGAGAAGAAGACAGAGGAAGTGTTTAAGGATCACTTTGATGATGATCACTTTCGAATGTGTCTGAGGTTTGTGGCAGGTCTAACTCACCTTGAACATGAGAGCTATCAACAGTATTTTAATAAACAACAACTTGACTTACAGTGTAAGAGGAAACGATTGTTTGGATTTGAGACTTGTCATCTCTCCTACTTCTATCAGAATCCTGAGAATGATCATATCAGATCTGATGATTTTGACAATGTTCCCATTCTTCTTCTTCAACTCCTGTATGAATCACAGAACACAACATTATGTCAAGTATTAGCACAATCCATCAACAACCACTCACTGTGTCTAAATAGAGTATCATTATCATTGTTTGACTGGTTGTGTCTCAGTTATTGTATAAACAATTCCAACACAACATGGAATCACTTGCGCTTGGACTATGTATCTAACCAGTCACTATCAGTCTTCACTGCTGGACTAACCAATAACTTACTACAGAAGGTCCAGTGTAAGAGACTGGAGGTAGTGTTGTATTTACCCACTGATCAATTAATACACAAATTATTACAATTATCACTTCTATACAATATTCAGGAGTGCTACTGTGGATTATCAAATGGTGAATATGTTCCCTGTCTTGTATTGTTAAAGCTCTTCAATCTTCCTCAGTTGAAGATACTGCACTTAATAATGGGCAATCCTATTACTATAGCAACAGTTGACAATACGTGCTACACAGACAAGTGCACTGAACTTGAGAAATGTATAGAAATGAATTCAACACTACAAGAAATGAAGATTGAGTATGGTGGAGAGAATGAAATAACAAGTACCATTATCAGTGTCATTAGAGGAGTAACAAGAAATAAAACAATAACATCATTAACAATACATGTTGATACTCCTCCTCCTCCTCTACCTGATGGAGTAATAGAGCAGTTACTAAAGGACAACAACACATTAAAAGCTCTTTCACTGGACATAGGTGATAGACTCCTACCATCATCACTGAATATAGTAAAGGTGAACACACCACTGACTGCTCTAGAGATAGGAGGACAGTGGAGTAGTGAACTGATGACATCATCACTCCTTCCACATATCAATGGATTACACTGTCTGATACTACATGATCCATACCCACCACATCTTCTATTTCTCTCTCATCCCAGTCTACATACACTTACTTTACCACTAGACACAGCTGAGAGTGCTATTGAACTATTTACTATTCTACAAACCAATACTACACTTAAAGCTCTGAGTGTGAACATATGGAGCATAGTATATACCAGCAGTATGGGTACTAGTCTACAAGACATGCTAACACAAAATCAAACACTGAAATACCTTGAGATTAGTAGTTACCTTGAGATTAGTAACATGAGAACTATTTTTTTTTCCATTCCCAGTTCATTCCTGTCCTTCCTAACAACTGGTCTCAGACACAACACCAGTCTACAGCAGTTGAGTGCATCCATTCCACTAAATGAAGAGATAAGAACTTTTATTAATGTCATCTCTCAAAAGAACAATCTCACAATACTTAAAGTGTACTTCAGACCAGATCAGTCATACAGTAACTGTAGTAAGGAAGAGAAGAAACAAATAATGCCAACACCATTGTTTTATGAACAGGTTTTACCTGCTGTTACTAACATGTTACAGTCACATACAACCATCAGACTACTGAGGATAGAGTGTGAATATATTAGTTACGAGTCATCTCAACCTAACTGGATAGAACTAGTACAAAATTTATATGATACTATCTTCATCCATCCATCACTTGAATATATTGAAATTAATACTGGAACCTTTGCTCCTCGTCTCCTGAAGGATACTCTTAAAGATCAAAAGAAGACATTGATTGATAGACACAGAAAAGAACAACCACACAAACCACTACCAATAGTGAAGATTAGTTATTAGTTGATTTGTTTAGGACTTTAGGTAGTAGCAAGAGTCCAAATAATTATAATGGACTCTTGGTAGTAAAGAACATAAAAAATTTAAAA